ATATATATATATATATATATATGCCGCAACTTATGCCTGAAAAAATGCATTTCAGTTTTTAAAATTAAAAATAGGAATATTTTTTATTCCGTATGAAATACTTGTGCGGCATGGATATAAAAAGTAATATTCAAGGGTAAAATATGTAAACAAATAAGAATTGGGTGGTATGTATGTAAATGCCCAAATTTTAAACAATACAGTAATAAAATATTATTTTATTTTCTTAGCTGAAATTTCACATATTGAACCCTATAAAACTGTTATTTGATTTCTAAATCTTCTGATATTGTTTAATACAATTTCAGTGCTTTAGGTTCAGTAATCATAGTTACTGGGCTCTATTTAGTTCTGTGGGGAAAAGCTAGAGAGTTCAAGGTGGAAGCTTCCGAAAAGAAAGCCCCTGAATCTGAGGAGAAATGTGAAGACAATCAAGACATTAAAGTGGAGCTTTCTAACAATCCACCCAATGCAAATTATGAAAAGACATTTGAAGTAGTTTGAGGAGTTATTTGCAAAATAAAGCTGTGTGGGACCTCCATGAACTTACTTTGAAGATGATGGTAGGGTGGTCCATGTAGTGATGCTAGAGCTTAGGTTTATCTTGCCAGGAAATAACTTTTGGATTTATTTGAGAATATAATGTATTGTATATACATTGCATGTATTTGGCTCGGATGATTTATTTAATATTACATTAAAAAAGGTTTTCCAAATGTTTTTTTATGATTTTTTTTGCAAGCAATTATATTATTATTATTTTAAATACTTTATTCTAAAAAATAAAATGTCAATTTACAATTATGTAAGCAGAATAAAATTATAATATAATTGAGTTTTTTCATGTAATTAAAATTGTTTTATTTCATGTTAATATATAGCAATTTTTAGCTACATAACTACATTATCACTTTGTATGAGTTTTTTGTTGGCACGTGTAAAAGCCTCAAGTTTACTATTGATAAAGATGTTATTTAGGAATTTGGACATATTTGGCTAATGGAATTAAAAAATAAATTATAAATAATGTTAATTATTATTATTATTATTATTATTTTGGTACAATAACAACAGAACATCAGGTCTTTACCCCATTAAATGGGGTAAGCTATATGTACCTTTTATCTGTATTGTGTCCTATTAAATGTTATATTTTTATTTAATTTTAATAAAATGGTCTTAATTTTTTTGTATATGAAAAATAAAGTTATTATATTTAACATGAAATGTTAAAATATTGTATTGATTTCAATGATAATCTATTGGTACAGCTTCTAAACTTGATCTCATGAAACATTATGATTAACATATTTAAGACCTTAGGAACCTCAAATATTTCAGTAAAAAAGTTCAAGAATTATTCTTGAGAATGGTCATCTTCTATATGTAGTAAATATAAATTTAAGGCATCCCATTTCGATACAATAAACCCAATCTTCCCAAGAATATTGACACACCAAAACTTATCGCGAAGTAAGTTGGTTGCATAACGCAAGTATACGTGTCAAGTAATAATGCGGTTAAAGAATATCACATATAAATCCCACAGGAAAAGAGCTAAGAAATATTCTAATGGGCGAATCTCTAGTTTATTATACTTCTAAAATTAGTTTAGCTTGATCACAAACAATAGCTGGTTTGCTAAAATCATACTTAAAAGCGAAAAAAAAAGATTAAGAATTCAAAAAAGATGGAAACAGTGGCAAATAAATCTTACTGTTCTTCAAAGCATTTGAGGCTCGTGCCCCTGTGATTAAGGTAATGTACTGATTAGTAATTTTCCTAGGCGTTCCCCAACGTGATTATTGTCAATAAAGATAGGAAGCCCTCCTTATGTCTATGTCTAGGTCAAAAGAATGTTAGAAATCTTGGAGTTTAGGCTTCCTCAAACCCATTACATCCCAAAAATTTATTCTGATTCCCTTTCCAGGATGCAAAAATCGTAGAAAATATGTCTATTATTATCTTAATTTTCTGGTTAACAATTTCGTTCCTCTGTGCAATGGGTAGGAGTCATAGATTGTGAAATATGCTAACATTCTAATGATTAGATTATGAGTAAATGAAACTTTATGGTTAACACAACAACGAAAAATGCTAGTTTTAAGTAAATAATATATGGAAAAAAATCATCTGATAAAACCACAAAATCACATCCCATAAAACATAGAGGCACAAAAGAAAGTTTTATTACGCATGTTAGAAAGAACATAAGAATAACTTTCCATTGAACTCATCATTACAAGAAAGAATGAAAGTAAGAACTTACAATACCAAATGTTCTCTCTTCCACAGCAGTCAACTCCTCTCTCATACAATAACCTCTAAGAAAAAATAAGAAAAAATAAAGGATAAAAAAAAGGTAGAAAGTGTCCTTAACTTTAGAGCCCAAGCTGCCTCCTCTCCTCTCATGACAAACAAGTATTTATAATCATATTTTACATTAATAATACAAAATTAGTATCCAATCTCTCCAGTTCAATCAATAGATCCAAAAGAGGCAATATGTCACTCCAAGGATCCATCAATAGGTCCAAAATATGCATGAAATCACTTAAAACTTGATCCTGGGCATTCAGTGGCGTGGTCATGCCAAATCTCAGTATGGTCACACCCAACTGCGACATGGCTAGTCCCAAAACTTTCGTGGTTATGCTAAGATCTGGCGTGATTACACCAAACAACCCTCTCTTCTGCATTTTGGCCTCATTTTGCGTGTTTGACATCTGTACCCTGCAAAATAGCACCAAGAACATTACACAAGCATAAAATCATGATAAATAAGATAAATGCCATTCAAAATCCATGATAAAATATAGGTGAAATCACAAAAAAGTGACACATGTCAATGCCCCTAAACTTACTATATTACTTGCCCTCAAGTAATCACATAACTCAGTTGTGACTTTCTTGGCTTAAACTAGTACTTCTATAGGCTTTTAACTATTCAATATGTTTATTAAGAATAAATAAAAGTATTTAAATATCATTATGATTAATTATGTTTAATGTTTAATAACTTGACATTTCCTTAATTTCATTCTTTCCTTCCTTAAGAAAATTTGATAGATCTTTAAATTGGTGTTATTTTGAGTCTCTTTCATTAACCATAAATGTCTTTAATGCATTTTCAATGGATTTTATCCAAATAAACATTCACTTAACTATGATCCAACTTTAAAATAACTCTTAACGTGGTTTTAATTAAATAAGCAAGGAAAAGCTTAACAATTAAGTCTCACTAGACCCTCTTCTAATTTTTTTTTATTTTCTTGTATTTTTATTGTGTCTCACTAGACCCACCTTTATTTTCTAACTTCTTAAATGTGGAGGAGAGTAGTGTTTCTTAAGCAATCAAACTTAATACTTGATTTTTTTAATGTTCCACCTTTAAGTTATCTTTTCCGATTAAAACATAAGATCACGTTAGTTTGGTTAAAATAAACTGAAAAAGATTAATGATATTTTTGGTTTGCTACTAAATATCTATATCACATATTTTTAATAATTTATATGTTTTTCTAAGTAAAGTCTGAAGTTGCTAAGTTCTGAAATCTTATTATTAACTCATTAAAGTCAAACTTTTCCAAATGATAATTTATTCATTTTTAATAGATTATGATAAGCAGTTTGAATTAATCAGAAAACCTAACAAGAGTTACAAATGAAGTTTAAATATTTTGTTGAGCTATGTGAACTACTTATCTGATTCATAATGATGTAAGGTTTTCTCCCCCAAACTTTTTTTTTTCTAAGACATATATTATAGAAAGTGATAGTACAGATAAAAAGCAGGTAAGTATAAAAAATGTGTAAGTGCATGACTCACATGATTCTCAGCAAGTACAAATTTAACATAGCAGGTGGAAATATCAAAAACTAGACAAGAACATGACCCAGTACAAATCTCACTATCAGAAGAAAGCCACTCCATAGATAAACAAGTCTCAAAACCTCATATTTAAAAGAAAACTTCAAAGCAAATATCAAAGTAAAATTCAAAACAAATTTTAAAACAAATGAACCAAGAAGAAAGAAAAAAAAACATACTTGATACATCAGATAACACTTGGGTTGCCTCCCAAGATAACGCTTGATTTAATATCATCAGGCTGACGATAATGGATTCCTCTAGAATCAAAATTTCAATTTAATAATCCTTTATCAATCGCCCAATATTTTGTTGGTCCTGAAGTTTTTATTAAGTCCTCAAAACTTAATTTTTATTGAAGCTTTCCCCTCTCAACTCGATAACAATCTTCTAGAGGGTATATAGGGGGTTAATTCAAATAATCATTCATAAGGGTACTTTTTAAATCTAAAATTCTCCCAATTAATTTTCATTTTTTGCATATTATTATTTTTTCAGATAGTTGCAAGAAATAGGTCCATAAGAGTTGAATCAGGTTATACTAATTCTTGGGTTGGGTTCTCCCAAGATTTTTTTAGGTTCTATATCTAATTCTACTAAGCCACTCTCCTACCTAGGACTATCTTCCAACTCTTCCCTTGGGGGTACTCCTATATGTCTTATAGGCTCAACTATCCCCCTAGTATTGCAAGGGGGTGCCTTAAAGAGAAGAGCAGATTATTCCTTAGTTACTGTCCAACCAAAATTCTCCAATCCAGACTACTCTTTAGGTATCAACTCTCCAAATTCAAAATTATGGCAATCTAGTATCCTTGACATCCTTTGAGCTTCTAGGCTAACTAACCACTCCATTTGATTTTCTAAACCTCTTAATGTGGTAGTTTTGCTTTGGAATTGATTCATTAGATTTATAATAAATTCATTCAAATTCTCATTTTCTTAAGAGTAGTCATTATCCTGGTCATTCTAACTTCCTACAAGATCGACTTGGGTGCTCTCCCATTACTGCTTATCTTCACTAAGGTTGTTATTATTCCAATTCAAGCTTGGGTAGGTAGACTAACTTTGGGTGCAGGTGTTGAATATATTCCTCAAATTTACTACCAATTATTCTAGCGATAGGTATCCTTCATAAATTGGGGTTTTAATGTGACTTCCCAAGGTTAAGTTTGACAAATGTAGTCGCTGCCCTAGTTGTTTCAATTTATATAATCTCCCTCAATGTTAGTTTTCTACACTAATTTTATTAATGTTTCAATTAGAGTTTAGGTAAGAAGTCCACTTGGGGTTGTAGGTTTTGGAAGAACGATGATGAAACCTAGTTCCTATGTCTTAAGGGTAAAGATTGTGAAGACTAGCCATTAATTCGTTGAAATACTTCTTAAAAGATCCAAGATAATATTCTTTAAGGATTTGACATTTCAAAGTGTTGGAACATTTTTTTGGCTTTTTGGCCTCTTTTTATTTTTATTTTTTTATTTTATTTTTTAGCACATAAAAAAAGCACAATAACAATAAAAGTGCAAATAAATATAAGATAAATGAAAAAAAGAAAAACAAAAAATTATTAAACCAAGATTCTCAACAGTTTAACTAAAGTTCTCCTAAAATCAGAATTCTTTTGGGTGCCTTTCCCTAGCAGCGACGTCAAAAACTTGATGCACCAAAACTTATCGCGAAGTAAGTTGGCCACACAATGCAAGTCTAAGCATCAAGTAATAATGTGGTTAAAGAATATCGCGTATTAATCCCACGAGAAATAAAGATAATGAATTTAGAAAAGATGAAATATGATGACATATAAGTCTAACAGTTCTTCAAGTTATATGAGACTCGGACCTCTGTGATTTAGGTAATATAGT